TCACAACTTGTCAATAAGATGTGTTCGCAACAGGCTTGTAGCAAGCTTGTCAACAAGTTGTAACAATGCTGTTATTTTATCAAGTTGCTACAAGGTTGTCACTCACAACTTAATTGTTGACAAATTGTTGAATTGCAGGACGATAACAAGTTGTTGGAACAACTTGTAACAAGTCTGTTGAGCTCAACAACTTTGTAGCAATACGTTGTTAACAAGCCGTTGACAACTTGCCAACAAGCCGAGAACAAGCAGTGCGAACACACCCTGTTGACAAGTTGACTGTATCGAACTTGTTGGAACAACCTTGTAACAAATCTGATAATATTATCAAGGTTGTTACAAACTTGTTGGCAACTTGGAACAAGCAGTGCGATCACAACTTGTTGACGGTCTGTTGGCAGATTTGTTACAAAAGGCGAGATTTTTGCGTGTGTGTGAACTAACCTGTCTGACAGCTCTGTCCAGTCCAGCCCTCGGAACAAACACATTTATAAAAACCAACATAGTCAACACAACGGCCGTTGAAGCCACACAGACCATTTTCCGTCAGGCCGATCCCTTCATCAAAATGGTGATATTTTGGATCACAATTATCAATATCTGAAAAACAAAAGAAAACGAAAAAATAATAATATAAATATTTATTTATCTACTTATTGGCAATACATCCGCAGAGTGGCTCTTCGCTTACCAAAATATACAATCGGCATAACCATTCAACTTGGATGGTAATGCCTTTGAATATTACCAGCCTAACCATTCAACTTGGACGGTTATGCCTTTGAATATTATAAGCATAACCATTCAACTTGGATCGTTACGCCTTTGAATATTATCAGCATAACTATTCAACTTGGATGGTAATGCGTTTGAATATTATCAGCATAACCATTCAAGTTGGATGGTAACGCCTTTGAATATTATCAGCATAACCATTCAACTTGGATGGTAATGCCTTTGAATATTATCAGCATAACCATTCAATTTGGATGGCAATGCCTTTGAATATTATCAGCATAACCATTCAATTTGGATGGCAATGCCTTTTAATATTATCAGCATAACCATTCAACTTGGATGGTAATGCCTTTGAATATTATCAGCATAACCATTCAATTTGGATGGCAATGCCTTTTAATATTATCAGCATAACCATTCAACTTGGATGGTAATGCCTTTGAATATTATCAGCATAACCATTCAACATGGATGGCAATGCCTTTGAATATTATCAGCATAACCATTCAATTTGGATGGCAATGCCTTTGAATATTATCAGCATAACCATTCAACTTGGATGGCAATGCCTTTTAATATTATCAGCATAACCATTCAACTTGGATGGTAATGCCTTTTAATATTATCAGCATAACCATTCAACTTGGATGGTAATGCCTTTGAATATTATCAGCATAACCATTCAACATGGATGGCAATGCCTTTGAATATTATCAGCATAACCATTCAATTTGGATGGCAATGCCTTTGAATATTATCAGCATAACCATTCAATTTGGATGGCAATGCCTTTGAATATTATCAGCATAACCATTCAACTTGGATGGTAATGCCTTTGAATATTATCAGCATAACCATTCAATTTGGATGGCAATGCCTTTGAATATTATCAGCATAACCATTCAATTTGGATGGCAATGCCTTTTAATATTATCAGCATAACCATTCAACTTGGATGGCAATGCCTTTGAATATTATCAGCATAACCATTCAATTTGGATGGCAATGCCTTTTAATATTATCAGCATAACCATTCAACTTGGATGGCAATGCCTTTGAATATTATCAGCATAACCATTCAACTTGGATGGCAATGCCTTTGAATATTATCAGCATAACCATTCAACTTGGATGGCAATGCCTTTTAATATTATCAGCATAACCATTCAACTTGGATGGCAATGCCTTTTAATATTATCAGCATAACCATTCAACTTGGATGGCAATGCCTTTGAATATTATCAGCATAACCATTCAATTTGGATGGCAATGCCTTTTAATATTATCAGCATAACCATTCAACTTGGATGGTAATGCCTTTGAATATTATCAGCATAACCATTCAATTTGGATGGCAATGCCTTTGAATATTATCAGCAGCGGTATAACCATTCAACTTGGATCGATGGTTATATGCCTTTGAATATTATCAGCAGTATAACCATTCAACTTGGATCGATGGTTATATGCCTTTGAATATTATCAGCAGTATTACCATTCAACTTAGATGGTTACACCTTTGAATATTATCAGCATAACCATTCAACTTGGATGGCAATGCCTTTGAATATTATCAGCAGTGTAACCATCAACTTGGATGGTTATGCCTTTGAATATTATCAGCATAACCATTCAACTTGGATGGCAATGCCTTTGAATATCATTACCATTCAACCTAATTCAAAAAGTTAATCATAAACATGGTTCAAGTTAATCATAACCATGATTCACTTTAATCGAAAAGTGTAAACGCAGGGCCCCCTGGACTAAAATATTTTTTGGTCCGTATTCTCTCACCTTGGGTCTAAGGATAAGTTTATAAACATTTCTAGCAAACATTGAGCTAGCAGACAAGATAGAAGAATCGGCACTAGACATCACAGCAGCTGAGACAGCTCCGAGGCCAATGAATGCAACAGCTGACGGAGTTAAATATTGCAACACCAAGGGTAGCACACGGCTGTTATCTTCTGCCCCAAGTGTGCCGTTCGTATGTTTGTCGTAGTCTGTAGCTGACCAATCTGAAAATATAAATTATGGATATCATTGCATGGGACCTGGCTTGCTCACTTTCAGGAAACATAGCTAGGAAACAGTGCTTTCTGATTTTTCTACTACCTTTGGGAAACATGGCTAGGAAACAGTGTTTCCTGGTTTTTCTACTACCTTTGGGAACCATGGCTAGGAAACAATGTTTCCTGGTTTGTCCATCTTCAGGAAACATGGCTAGGAAACAATGTTTCCTTGTTTGTCCACCTTTGGGAAACATGGCTAGGAAACAATGTTTCCTGGTTTGTCCACCTTCGTGAAACGTGGCTATAGGAAACGATGTTTCCTGGTTTGCCCACCTTCGGGAAACGTGACTACTGAAGTAGGAAACAAAGTTTCCTGGTTTGCCCACCTTTGGGAAACATGGTTAGGAAACGATGTTTCCTGATTTGTCCACCTTTGGGAAACATGGTTAGGAAACAATGTTTCCTGGTTTGTCCACCTTTGGGAAACATGGCTAGGAAACAATGTTTCCTGGTTTGTCCACCTTCGGGAAACATGACTAGGAAACAATGTTTCCTGGTTTGTCCACTTTCAGGAAACGTGGCTGGGAAACAATGTTTCCTGGTTTGCCAACAGTTCTTAAAAGACATATTATTCGAATAACATGATCTTTTCACTACCTGTAGCAGTTGCAATGGCTCCAATCAGAAAAGCGGGAATCGCCATCACAATACAACCAAATGAAGCCGAGAATGACAGATATTTGGCTTGTTTGGAAGTTTTGCAAGCTAGTACTCTTTGGAAGTATACTTGCCAAGGTATGCCACCAAATATCTAAAAGATATATTCATTTATAAAACCAAACTGTAAGCTAAATTGAGGTTCATTGATGGCATCCACTGATTTGTAGTCCATATTGGTTAAGTATTGTAATTGTAGACCGATTTGAAAAATAGTTGTCATTCTTTTTTCTTCAGAAATTAATTTCAACTGAGGTATGAGTTTGTGGTAGATTTAGCAAAGAAGAGTGACAAGCCTTGTTTTCGTCCTTTTTTTACACTTTTCCTTGAAACAACAGTTTGTGTTGAAAAATTGTTTATTAGCCTGCGTCGCATACATAATCAAGGGTGGATTTTCATTTTTTTAGGGGAGGGGTAGAAAAATTTCTGGTGGGGTGCAAACGGCACTACTGAGCGAGCTTTGACAGGGGTTAGGCAACAAGGTTAAAGATTTTCACACAAAATAGGAGGAGTGAAGCAAAATTTTGGTGGGGTTGAACACTTTATAAGAGGGATTAGAGAGATTCTAAGGGGAGGGGTCCCCCCAGTAAATCCGCCCATGCGAAAATTTGTGGCAGCTAGTTTTCAAATTGGTCAGTTACAGGCTGAAACTCTTTCTCTCTGCAGTTTCACTAGTCGGTCCCTGGCAAAAGCATGTGGTGGGTCGAAAATTAAACTGGGAGCCCCATTAAACTCATGATGATGATTGATCACACAAGTCTTTCTCTGAACTTTATAGTAAACTTACCAGTAATAACGCAGAGTCCAGCCAAACACCAGTAAACTTCGAATCCCATTCACCAATCCAAGTTTTCTTGCTCGTGGTTATACTGCTGACTGCTGAATGAGTGAGTGCAAAGGGGATGGTCAACCACTAGAGAATAACGGATATGATACGTTGTAGGAGTGATGCTTGCGATGTTACTCTGAGTGTATATCCACACCGGCCTAGCTTGAAAAATATGCCTGGCCACGGTGGGAATCGAACCTACGACCTTTGGAATACTAGCCCAATGCTCTGCCAACTGAGCTACGCGGTCAGGACGGTTCGAGTATGTGATATTTCAGAACTGAGTCTAGTTCCTTCGATATCAATGCAATCTAGTAATCATGATTTTTTTCAATGATTTTCAATGATTTTTTTTTCAAAAATCACAATAACTAGATTGCATTGATATCGAAAGAACTAGACTCAGTTCCGAAATATGATAAATATCACATACTCGAACCGACCTGACCGCGTAGCTCAGTTAGCAGAGCATTGGGCTAGTATTCCAAAGGTCGTAGGTTCGATTCCCACCGTGGACAGGCATATTTTTCAAGCTAGGCCGGTGTGGATATACACCTAGAGTAACATCACAAGCATGACATATTCACCTGAGTACATTACACCAACACAGGAAAAAAGTTATAGGAGTGGTTGTCAGGGCGGGAAAATATAATTTTCTTCCTGGGAGCAAAAACTGGAGACAAAAATTTCCTGCAGACCAATGGAGTCTTTTTGTGCTAAATGTGCATGTACATAAACATATAGTGTTCTAGCTGACCATGGTTTTAAATTCAAGGAATAATGTCTGTCAATCATACGTTGTTGCGCCCACAGTGGAACATGGGTGTTAAGGTTTCCTTCAAATTTTCAATAGCAAATCTTCGAATTTCTTGCGACTGTTTAACATTTCCGCGAGCGTGCTCGCCTATTTTTTCCACCCCTGGTGGTTGACGTGAGTGAATGATGGAAGATGAGTAGGAAAAGAATGGAACAAATTGCTTTCGCTTACCAGGCCAACGAAAATACATATCAACTGTACAACGTCTGTGTACGCAACAGAGTAAAGCCCTCCAACAAATGTGTAGAGTACAGCAATTGCTGCAGATACCGTGATTGCCGTTGTGTTGTCGATAACATTCACTACAACACTGATAGAGGCCCCCAGAGCAGAGAGAATAGCGCCTGACCAAAATATTTCTCCAAGTAGAGCTGGGATGTACATTAATCCTCCCACACGTGATCCGTATTTTTCTTGGAAAGGATCTAACATCGTCACATATTTCCTAGAACGCATTTTCTCCGCAAACAGTAAACCACCTGGAAAGAATATAAAGTCTTTTTTTCATCGCAACAATTTATCCTGGCCCGGACCATTGCCAGGCTAACGCAATTAGCCTTTCTCACGATGACGAATATCCGCCATTTTTGGGTGGCATCTAATTCTCGTTAACCAATGCAGACAATTAAAACAATGTGAAAAGCAATTTTTCAAAATAAACTAACCATTTACAAAGCAAATTTACCATCATTCGTCCAAACAGTTATAAAAAGTCGCTGTTATGTGGACTTATCTCGCAGACTTCGGCTGAAATGCCCCCCAAAAATAACGGCGTTTACATTTCCACAAGGCTTGGCTTAGGCCAACGATTGCGGTGGGCCCTGTTTTTAGGCGCTGTTTATACTAAATGTAATCTCTGTTTGGATGAGGTGGAAGACGGGATGATTTTGATGTTCAAACGCCGGTTAAAAGAACGCAAATGTGGTCGAGAAAATCTCGTAGTTCAAGAAGATTATTATTGCTGCATGGACAACCTTTCGTTTCCAATTATACTATAATCTATCACTAGGAAAATAATGTAATTTTGCTGAATCATGAACCGTGACTTTTTTCAATTCATCAAAATTATCCCGCCCCACATCTCGTGGGACCCCCCATCTCGTGGGGCGGGATTACCGCCCCTAAATCTTAATACTAAAATCCTCATCTTTCATTTTTGCTTGAATGAGACAAGAGTTGAAGCAGCTTACCAACAGTTAAACTAAGTGCGTATCCCCAAGGAGCTTGGACCCAGATTAAACCAACTGTGGATGTATATTCACTTGTTCCGTTTATGTAGCCACCTCCAACCCAAGTAGCTGAAGCATAGAAAATATATAGAAATTACAAATAACCACACATATACTGATATTCTACCATACCATACCATACCATACCATACCATACCACAGTATAACTCAGTTTTCATTTCTTAACCCACCACATTCTAAACCCCACCACACCCTATACCCCTCCCCCACAACACACACCCTACCTCACTATACACCCACCGCACTATGTCACACCATACACCCACCACATGACACCATGCCACACTATGCATTCACCATACCACACCATTCACCATACCACACCATTCACCACTCCACCAAACCCTACCTCTCCCCGACCCACTATACACATACCACACCGTACCCTCCTCATACCATACCACTCCCACTGATCAATGACCACACCTTATCCTCTCCCTTCCTCATCACACCATACAGCATCCACATCCACCATACGAACCTGTCATGGTCATTGCACCAACAAACAGACCCAAACTTCGTCCAGCTAAAATAACCTCTTCTGTTTCATCTCGTTCTGTCGCCTCCTCTCCATTGCTCAGACCATTCTCTGATTTGTTCCCCTTCTTTTTCCATGCAGCCCAGACTCCAATTCCAAGAATGAGAAGGTAGAAAATAATAATCCCGACAAGACCGAGCACATTTAATGCCATGGTTGATTAGATGTCAATTCTTGAAAGAAGGTAAACATCGTTTCATCACGTAAATTTCGTCGCTGACGTAACCCCGAACTTTAACCCTTTGTCTATTTTAAATGTTTGGCATTGGGGTTAGCGTTATAGACACGGTAAAGATTTATATGGTAAGACAATAACAGGTTTGATATAACTATTGAAAATACTTCGCTAAAAATTAAAAGTTGTTAATTAAGCTATTACATTTTTGTGGCCTTGGGAAATTTAAAAGTGTCACTAGCGTCTAGGATGCGCGCTTTACATGTTGATTAATTAAAGAGTACACTCGCCTGACTTTTATTCTAATATTACTGGAGAACCGCAACAGTTAACTTGACTTAAGCTAACCCGCCTTGTTTCGGTTCAAAATATGTACGATAGTACGTGATACTAAATTTCATAACTTAGTTTTAGTCATGTATATCAAACAGATTGAAACTGTTTGATATGGACAAGTAACTGTATCAAAATAATCCTACTCGTGCGTATCAACTCGAATATTTTTTCACTCATTGTGTTTTAAACATAATGAAGTAATAGTATAACCATGGCATCAATAATATATAATGAAATTACCTTTCAATTCAATTCAATATGCAAAGAAACTTTGTTTCATCACACGCGCCAACTTATAAACCTAGCTGCTTTCCTCCCTCGGTGTGTTTGTGGCAGACTAATGTTTTGGAGTTTGTACCCTGAACCGAAAGTTGAACAACTTTTTCAACACGCTATTTGTTTGTCATTTGATATGGTCGCTCAGCTGGGGCACATGGTCATTTACTACATATGCACATACAGTATACAGTTTGCATAATAAACTCGATTTTTGTTGTTTTATCTAAGCTGCTTGCATTACACGTGTGCTATCAATGAACATGAATATATTATTCTGAGTGACGTTGTTTTGAAAAGAATTTGCATTTTTTCAAGTGATGCTAGTTAAATTCTAAACAAAGACATGCTGGTATTTTATTCATAAAATGTCTTCACACACCAGTAGTCTGTGTGTTTAGTCTTTAGACTTTAAAGGAGTTGTATTGTTCCTCGTGATATCAGCTGTTGGTTTTAGTAAAAGTTTTTGTAAAATTGATTTAAACATATTTTGATACACACGAACATGTGTTTGTGACCTTCACAGCGTTGTTGTCGGTATATGTGGTATATGTGTTCAAACATATAAATCGTTGAATAGGACGTTAAGTGAATTAAATTAATCGGTCACCCAAGGTTGCCATGTATGTAACCTAAGTTGAACTTTGTACGACATGTCTATGTCATAAATACCTGATGTGTGAATGTTTCCGCTCTGTAACACGAAAATTCTGAGGGGGACTGATGAACGAGGGCGCGCGTAAATAGCGCCCCCGAGCAAACTAGAGCAGGGGTCTGGGGCGACATTCGCCAGTGGGAATTATTGGACAGGGTTGGGGTAAGGGGCATTCTCGTACCCAGAGCCCTTACGCGCGGTGCGACGAGGAGCTCTGGCCAAATCCATAACCGGATACCATAAAAACATGATAATAGAATATATCCGTGATTAGAACAATAACCTTCGTTGTGGCCAATCAGATGCCAGTTTGATATGGATTTTGCCAGAGCCCCTCGTCGCGCTCCGTTGACCGCGCGTAAGAAGGGCTCTGGGTACGAGAATGGGGTAAGGGGGTGAGCCTTTCGGTAGAGCGTTGACTCTTTTCACATGTCTTGAGTCCGAAACGAGAATTGAATCCACGATCTCAGAAGTGAAAGGCGTTTGTTCTGACCAGTGCGCCACCGACAAGGCCCCCATTCACGTTTCAACGAACATTTCAGGCAATCAGTACTCCTTCGATAGCGTTTCACAAGTCCCGTCAAGTTCAGTTCAATAACGATAATCTTAAGTGGACAAACATTGATAAGGCATGCATGGTAGACATAGTACAATTGCAGAACACCCCGCCACATATATTTCTACTGAGTACTGTGTCGGCTACGCGGGTAGAAAAAAACTACTAGAGAGGTTAAGAGTGACGTTCATGACAGACCGGTAACCGCAAACGGGAAACGTCAATTCGTATTTGAAAGTAAGTTCTACAAGTTTCCGAAGGTTTCGACAGGTTTTTAGTCAATTCATTCTTCAATTTTAATGCACAAATTGTCCTAACTTCGAACAGCTTACAGTTGACCTTAAAATACGACTTGAAGTTAGCGGTCTGCCGTATACGTCAATCTTAACCTCTCTATTAACTAAACTGGCCGTACGCAGTCAAATTGCTACGCAGTCCTCGTTCATAAAAAAACTACAACTAAGGCCACATAAAAAAAATAGTTGGTTAGCGTCCTCGCCCGCCCACAAAAATGGCCCCGCTCAGGATTTTTTTAAAAATTTTTTAAAAAAACCCAACTTTTATTGATCAACGAGCTCTAATATACGTAGTATTTCTGTTGACTGTAGTCAATTGTGTAATAAATTGCGAAATTGCGTGCAAAAATGAAAAAAATCATATTTTGAAATATATAAAAAAATATCTGTACTGCGCAAGAAAATCCAGTTTCGGACCTAAAATCAAGGCGTTAAAAATTAGTAAACATTAAAAAAAAAGCGCCCGCCCGCCCACTTTTAGTGGCAAAAGCTAAGGACGCTAACCAACTATTTTTTATGTGGCCTAAACTGGCTACTCAGTCAAATTGCTACGCAGTCCTCGTGCTTAAATACGATAATATATGTTGTTGCTTCGTTCTCAATAAAAAAATATATAATGTTGTTGCTTTTTTTCCAACAAATCATGCGATAGCCAAGATATCACTACAATAGTCAATATCAGTGTTGTTGCTTCGTTCTTTAACAAATCACGCGCAATATATCAATAAAAAAAATCTCGTTGCTTCGTTGTCAACAAATCATGCAATAGCCAATATATGAATACAATAGTCAACATGTTGTTGCTTCGTTCTTCATTTCACTGCGTAGCCAAATGACTGCGTATAGCCAAATGACTGCGTATAGCCAAATGACTGCGTATAGCCAAATGACTGCGTATAGCCAAATGACTGCGTATAGCCAAATGACTGCGTATAGCCAAATGACTGCGTATAGCCAAATGACTGCGTATCGGTATAGCCAAATGACTGCGTATAGCCAAATGACTGCGTATAGCCAAGTGACTGCGTATAGCCAAGTGACTGCGTATAGCCAAATGACTGCGTAGCGCCAAATGACTGCGTAGCGCCAAATGACTGCGTAGCGCCAAATGACTGCGTATAGCCAAATGACTGCGTATATACATTTCACTTGACTGCTTGAAGCTTTTTATGGCAGGGTATTCTGCAATTTCTCCTCTTTTACTATTTGTATTTCAACCTACCGGTTGCAAAGCCTATATTTCTTATAATAAAAAATCTAAAATCAAGTATCAATGTAAACACCTAAATCTAAATACATTTGACTGCTTGTCAAAGTATTGTAGTTTGCATGACAGTTTTCTCAACTCACTGTGCCCCGGTCAAACGAGAACAAGAGTTGCATGAGAGTTGATGAGAGTTGAGAAGCGAGAGTTTGCATGAGAGTTTTCTCAACTCTCGTGCCCCGGTCAAACGAGAACAAGAGTTGCATGAAAAGTTGATGATAATTGACTGGATATTTACCTTTACTATACTATATTTACTCTCATAGTAAACTCTCATTAAATTTGAACCAACTCAATAGTTGATAAGAGGTGACGAGAGTCGATGAGATTTGGCGGTCAAAAGCGAGTGATTCTCATTTCACCGAGACTTTATACTCCTGAACTTATAACTTGTATAAAAATAAAATTTACACACACCTTTAGAGTTTAATAAAAAATGAAAGTTAAACAATCTGGTCCCATTCACAACCGTTGCACTTGTAGACTTTGACCTTCATAAAAAAATAAACATGTACTTTGAAATAAGGTGGATCAGTTCTGTTTTGCCTTGCTAAACAAGTAACGTGGCAAGGCAATAGGCCGGTCACGATTCAGTAGCATTATGACTGACATAATTGATAAGTTCTTCGATGACTTTTCCGACTCCTAAGCAACGCTTAGTTGTTGCTTCATTGAAAAGCATTTGTTAGTAGAACTGTACGTTTTCCAGACTGGAAAATAACTATAGTTTGAAATACATTGGGAATGATCGAAACAGGAATGTCTTTGTTTGCGCTGTGCATGAAAATAAAGAAGTCTTTCTTCGGTATAGACATTGTCAGGGGCGTCCCTCTAGGGGGTGTGTATGGGTGTGACACCCCCCTGAAAACGTCTTGTTCGGCAAAATAACGGATTCATCGACATCGGAAAATTGATTTCGTAGTCAGCGAAAATATTTGAGTGGCTCTGATTAAAAAAGTAACAGTTATAGCGAATAGTTTGCAAAATTTATGAAAATTACCGAAAAATGTAACAAATTATGATATGTCCGGAAAAATTTTGGCATGTCCGGAAAAAATTTTGCGACCTCCCGCCCCCCGCTCGCCAACAATTTTGGGGAAAAATATTAATTAGCGACTGAAATGTTGTCGGCAAATGCGATACTACATCCAGGCCCTTCTTTCTCCTCTTCGTTACGGCCCTGGACATTGTGTTATTTTTAGATAGCGTTTCAAGTCCTGTTCAATAACGATAGTCTGAAATGTATTCCCGATCATAATTGGATATTTATTAGATATAAATATATCTGCTTCGAATATAAAACGTTAAGTCACAAGGTTTATAAGGATTGAAGTCTCGGTCAAACGGCGATGAGAGTTGAGAAGCGAGAGTTTGCATGGGAGTTTAGTCAACTTTCATGCCCCGGTCAAACGAGAACAAGAGTTGCATGAGAGTTGATGGGGTATTACTGCGCGCGTGGCGAAAACTCTTATCAACTCTCATCAAAATTTGAACCCGTTCAAAGTTGATGAGAGTTGATCAGATCGAGTGCACGAGTATTAGCGGTGAAACGCGAGCGATAGTTTCAACTCTTATCAACTCTCATCCTCTTCGACCAAGACTTTGCCCGGCTAAAGTTATAACTTGTATAAAAATATAATTTACACACACCTTTATAGTTTAATAAAAAATCAATGTTCTGCTCCCATTCACAATTTGCGCTGGTGGACTTTGACCTTCATCTGACTGAGATTTACACTCTGCAATCTTATATATAAACTTTCACGTGTAAAAGGCTGACCAGGTGGTTTTTACTAAAGTCGTGGGGTAATTTAATTGTCCTTGCCTATTGGTTTTCCTTATCAATTCAATCGCTTTTATTACTTTGTGGCTTTTATAATGAAATTCAAACGTGAAAGCATTCAAATCGTCCTGACTTCTGTTTATACAGTTTCAGAGTTTCACCTGTTTTTGAAAATGATGCGTTACTTCTCACACAAAGGCGCGTTCGAACGTTTTATTGGGTTTTAAACGTTTCTAATAGATTTGTATATCTTGGCAATTTTTTTTACTTAAGTTATCTTCAAATTGCAACGCATGCAATTTTAGATACTTTGAGGCATGTTTTGTAGAGAATGCGTTCGCCTGGATTTCTTTTGCAGTTTTAGTTTCCGCAAAATTTGGTTTGTGAAATTTGAACTTTCTTGTAACTTTTAACTGATAAGTTCGACTCATATATGGTTCAGTTAATCATTAATACTTTTTTTGCACGTAAAAGCTTCACATTATGGAAAGACGCTATGTCTGTAACTTGCTTGTGTCTTCTCCCCTTGACGAGTAAAATTAGGGAGTTTAAGATCCCGACAACGAACAACGGGTACGGAGTACGGTTGAAGGCTTGTTTTCGCATTGCTTTAAGAAAGTCAAAGGCAGACAACATTTACATATCCCTAGAGCATACTTTTCACCGTAGCGAAAAATCACATTCGATCTTGTGTTGTAAAACAGAATCAAGAACATAGCACCGTGCTATGCAACGTTGCAGGTTGGAGAGTATTTTTATAAAGAAATGATGAAAATTAAAAGATGAAACTTGCCGAACACAAAGCCATGCACATAAAACATATTTGGGATAAATTTGTTATGACAAGCATTTAATATTTGCATACATACAACGAAAACTATTTCAAACGTAGTCGTTAGTTCGTCGTCAAGATCTTAAACTCCCTATTGTCTGGCGTTAGATAGAGTAAACTCAGTAAAGTAATATAAAGTATAAGGACGCATTTGGGTGCATTGCAGCTCAATGGACTATACACTGAAAAAGTTGTGACAATGCCGTTCATAACGTTGCTACAAGGTTGTCATACAATGTCAATAACACGACAAATACAGGACAACGGAACTGGCCTAAATTTATACTTTTGTTGCTATTATTTTAAAGCTCTATAAAATATTAATGCCAAACTGGCTTGTTTCAAATTTTCCGTGGCAATTCCTCGAGCAATGAACCGGTTTTCGAACTTGTTTATGTTCGGGTTAATCTCGGTTTTCCGTCGGTGGGCGAAAACTGTCGGAAGATGACAGTTTCGTCGCCGCAGTCGGAGATCCATATCGATCGCAGGGGTTGGAATGATCAATTTTCCTACGAATATTGCCACAAATTCCCTGTATTGTTTGCTTATAATAAATCACACCGAGGTATATCTTCAAAATTTCATACTACAAAATCTTCACCGACGAAAAAGAGGCTGTGTAAAGCTTTCCTGCAAGCGTGCTCAACAATTTTCTTTTTCGTTTCTTCATTTACATATTAATTAGTTCTCTCACATCGCGTTGGAAATTACTCAGCGTAAATATTTTCAAATTGCCTTGATTAATAAAGAAATCTATTTTAATATTGATGCCTGTATATATATATATTACTCGCGCCCACACGCCTGGCTGTAAGCAAGAAGATAACTTGTTTTTTTTTTCAATCGGTAAAATGTGATTTGGCTATACTCTGACCGTTAGAATGTTCTACATCTTTCTGTAGCACTACACCGCTATCCGCCGGATTGAGAATTTTTCAAACTTTCTAAAATCGTCCGTTTTGTTGGTAAACCCCGATTCTAAATTAAAGTTTCTTTTTATCAACTGTGTGGTGGGTTCGATATCCGTGTTTTCACAGGATTTTCTGACAATTTTAGAAAGACTGAAAAAAAAATGCTGTCCGGTGCCGGTGGTACAAATTTTTAGATCTTGACAAGATTTTGACATCATTTAATATTTTATAGTTCCTACACGAACAACTAGACACAACACATTCTTTCAAAGTCACGGTAGTTCTACTGATTTCCTAGATACCAACACGAACACCAGTCTGGCAGTCTCCTTCGCAGACTTGCTATCACGTACGATAACGTAGGGAGTTTAAGATCTTGACGACAAACTACCGACTACGCTTGAAATAGTTTTTGTTATATGTATGCAAATACTAAATGCTTGTCAAAACAAATTTATCCCAAATATGTTTTATGTGCATGGCTTTGTGTTCGGTAAGTTTCATCTTTTAATTTTCATCATTTCTTTATATTGCATCATTTTTTCGGTGCTATGCCTATGTTCTCGATTCTGTTTTACAACACAAGAATATGATTTTTACCCTGTAGCCAAGGTCGCTACGGTGAAAAGTATGCTCTGGGGATTTTGTCTGCCTCTGTTAAAGCAACGCGAAAACAAGCTCTCAACCGTATTCCGTACCCGTTGTTCGTTTACACTACGCTCAATTTTTGGCACGGCACGGATAAAATTGGTACCCGTACCACTTTTTTGGTTCTTGGACTACCTATATATTTAGCTAAGCCCCGTTTATACTACGCTCAATTTTTGGTACCGTACCACTTTTTGGTTTTTGGACTACCTAAATAGGTAGTCCTACAATTTTATCCGTGCCGTACCAAAAATTGAGAGCGTAGTGTAAACAGGGCTTTAAACTCCCCGAGAGCGTCTGCGAATGAGACTAGAGACACGAATGAAACTAGAGCTTGTCTGAGCCAGTGTTGTAGAAAGATTCGCCTGTTCAATCCGTCTCAACGGACAATCCATATTAAACTAGGCCAATATAAGGTTCCAGGGCAGATTTGTACATATATACATATTAATATAGATTAGGTGTGTATTGGTATCAGGTGTTCTGTATCATATACGTTGTTCAAAGAACAGAGCAGACTTTCGATTGAACTCCCAACCGATTTTCTTCTAACCCCTCTCCGTCATTATCTGCAGATATCACTCCTTCATCACCCCTTTCTCTGAAATCGTCCTCTATGTGTGCTGTACTGAGTACAGCTGAAACATCATTGTTCCTTCTCTGAGCTGAATCGTTCGAGCTTTCTCCACGATTAGACCATCTTAAACTGCCAGGCAATCGCCTTATTGATTGTTTTCTTGACGTTCGCTTGTCCGATCTCCCTTTTAATTCTTGCTGCTGTTTCTTGTAGATAACTAAAGCAGTGTCTTGGTATCTTTCGTGAATTGCTGCGTAATCAACGCTTTTAACTTTTCGACGAAACATATACAACTTTATGTGAGTCTTAGAATTCTTCGCACTAAACTGAAATTTTTAAGTCATTTTTAAAACTATACCATAAATTTTCACAGTTGTTACAGCACCTAGTCATTTAGTATATTAAAATAGCCAATTTGGGCCAATATAATGCTTTAATCCTTGTTAATTTTTTGTATCTTTTTCTCCGCTACTAGCCAAAACAATTTTAAGCCGCCATATTGGATATCAAGTAGCGTTCGTTGCCTGGCAACAAGAAACGCTGAAAATTATGGCAAAACATCTGTTATAATCTCAGTGGAAAAAAATTAAATTTTCCAAATTTTTAATTTCTTTTATTATATATAAAGAGCACTTTACACACAGTTTTTGTTATATTAAGAATGAGACAAATTACTGTATAACCTGCTGACCTCAAAATGCCACTGGATGGTTCATCACCACGATACATATATCCTCCCATTTACATGATACAACTAGTATGAAAATGACATCTGATGGCAATGTCATCAGTTTATGGCGAAATTTGGAAAGTGACATCTTTACATGAATTTTTATTCAAGTACAGGATAAGAATCATACAACTGGCCGTATTAGGTAGACAGGCCTTCCACAGGTAAAGGTTATCACAAAGTCTAACCGTACTGTATCTATCAAAACACATTGTTCATAAAAACAGTTCATGCAACCATGTATTTAATATATCCAACAATATCAAAACACAAAAATATGAATATATAATTTCTACCATCTGATAATAATATAACTGTGGCAAACATTGGAAGGCAAAACCCATGCACGTTGGCACATGACTGGTAACAACACTATCTACAACACTAATAATAAAGTCACGTTATTAATATCAAATCCACCATGAAAACAATCATGAACATGAAGCCAGTATACTTGATATCTGGTCAACATCTATGGTTGCCAGAGTTGCTGCTGCAACACCATCTCCCTCGCTAACAATGATGGTAATTTCTTCACCAGACATTGTGGGCATCTCGGGTATGGTTGCCACAGAATCCAGTGTTGCCTCGGGATTGACCTCAGGTGAAACACCAATCTGGGTATTAATTTCTTCTGGAACCATATCAGTATTACCATCATCGCCATAATGACCATTAAACATTGGTTCAGGATTCGAGACATTCACCATTGAAGCACTTAATTCAATGACTTGCCTGCTGGGGTCAGTAAGAAGGTCGGCATCTGGGACAGGTTCTCCCTCTGCGCCAAAAGGCCTCTCTGTGTCCTCTCTCTGTGCTTTGTCCAACTGAAATTGCAACATTGTTGCACTTGCTCGTTCGGACTCTGTATGCCGCCTCATGTGTTTATGATAAGTTCCTGATTGTGTGAACGATCTCTTACAAAGACAACAAGAATACGGCTTTTCTTTGGTATGAACTCTCATGTGGTACTTCAAGTTGCAAGACTTTGCAAAACTGAGTGGACAAAGTTCACACGAGTACGGTTTCTCGCCGGTATGGGTTCTGACATGGTTACGCAGCAGTCGCAATTGTGAGAAGGCACGGTCGCAAACTGTACAGGGGTAGGGTTTTTCACCGGTATGCGTACGTTCGTGTTTGCGTCTTGTGCTACGGTCCCGAAATCCACGATCGCAAAACTGACATTTGTATGGCTTCTCCCCGGTGTGAATAAACATGTGTTCTTGGTAACGAGATTTCAAATTTTTTGAAAGACACTTCGAAGACTTTACCACAAATTTCACAACTTGTTTCAGTTTGGCAAATGACTACATGTTTATCCAGCGTTGCTTGTCTCACAAACTGTTGACCACATTTCTCGCAGGACAGCGTCAACCGGTCATGTTTATGCATATGTTTGGAGAGGTTTGCTTCGCTTGCAAAGACTGCACCACATTCGGCACAACGCTGAGGGCTGTAGTTATCAGTGTGGATTATTTTATGCCGATCTAGGTCCGCCTTGCGGATAAAACCTCTGGAACATACATTGCACGTAAAAGGCTTTGTTTCAACATGTGTGTAATAATGTGCTTGGTACTGCATATATGCCAGTCTACCATTGTATGAGAAATCCTTATTGCAGAACGAACACACAAGATTCTTCTTGCAAACTAGAAGGTGTTTGTCAAATCGTTTTTGCGAATGGAAGCCCTTGTCACAGTGCGGACAGTTTTTCTGTTCGGTTTTAAACAGATATTTCCGTTTTTTGCTCTCGTCGGTACTTCCGGTTTCGTCAGTCGACTTTTCAGCCAGCGTGGCATCGGTGGTCAATTCTTGACATTTCTCGCACGGGATCTTATCAGGATTGTTGGCCGTTTCTGGATCAATTTCTGCAAGTAATTGGCACGATTCACATTGGATATTTTCAGGTGTATTTTCAGTTGTTTGGTTTAGAGAGTCGTCTCCATCTTTTATATAAGTGTGGTCAGAGAGATGGCCTGCCTGTTCTTCAACAAGTGCCACGTTTGGAGGTTTTGGTGTATCGGTATTCTCCTGTAAAATTAATTGAAATAAAATTAATCTAGCTTTATGGTATAAGTTAAGTTTTAACCCAGGGTTTGCACTAATCCAGCTTTGAACAACCGGCCATCAGTGCCTTGGGCAACCACACCACAGAATAAACACATACAGCAGTCTGTCCTATGAAAGGCATTCCCCCCTGAAAATATTAAAATATGGTGAACATTCAGGGGGGGTGAATCCCTCTCTGCAAGCAGTTGCAAAAAATACTTTTTATCAATGAAGACACGATTGTTAGCTTTATAACTAGCTTGGTGTTTAAAAAATATATAATTTAAATATTTTCCATTCTATGATTGGTAATATATTCACCTCGTCACCAACACGTTCGGTCGCCTCGCTAGTTTTAACCCTCGGTTTTCTGCCACGCTTTTTGCCTTTCGCCTTGGATTGCGTTTCTCCCTCGCTTTTCAAAACACACTTGTGCTTCAGAAATTGTCGGGAATTTGTGAAGTTCTTCACGCACTTTTTGCATTCAAAGTAAGTTTTAACCGTTCCTTCCAGCTTCGCGTGGCCGGGCGGAATAGGCAAGCTATTTTCGCTTTGATTCTGGTTCGGCTGTGCTGCACCCAAGACAGATATTTGAGAAGTGTCCTCGACAGGCATTGTCGAATTTTCTTGTTCGTCGCGAAGCTGTAATCCCAGTTGTCGACAGTAATCTTCCATTTGTTCAGACTGTACTTCGTCGTTCTTGTCCATTTTAACAAGGAGCGATATTTCTGCGAATTTTGGCAAGAAATATATTGAAAAAATATCAAAAAATTTAGGTCTCGTTCGACTTGGTCGGCCTGTGGAACTTGCCGTTTACGCGGTCCCTTCGTTCTTTACGGCACTCTCCGATACTTTCCGGCATCGTCCGACGATTGTTCCGAACTGGTAGGATCGTGGGGTTGGGAAGGGGGGGGGGGCATCGGGAAGTGGGGCAAGCAAGGAGTGAAGCAAATAGGTAGTGGGGCAACAGGGAGTTGTCGGGAGTGTGGAAACGGGGGAATGGGCTAGGGTAGCCGTCAACTTCCCCCATATAATGGCTAGTCGTCAACTTCCCCCATATAATGCTTCATTACTTTTCCACTCTGATAACTGTAGGTTGACCATCTATGATTATTAAATTAGCCAGGATAGCAGGTGTTTGATTAAAACCCACCTATACGTTTCATCCCAGGGTATTTACACCCAATACAATCTCAACACTGAAACCTGAGAAAAGACCAGACGGATCACGTTTTCTGCCGGAAAGCCAAGGTCGACGACTCTCCTTCATCAGGAAACAAGAACTTGATATTGACAACCGATCATCACATGCTGTGCTGAGTGGTTATATTACTACTTTAAAAAATAAGCAGAAACTCGACGTTTCGAGCGAAGGACCTTCGTCAAGAGTTAGTAGCCATCACATAGCCTGCGAAGCAGTCGCTTTATTTTATTGTAGGTTTTGAGGATTTTTGAATAAATGGCGAGTTAAAAAATGGACGAAGAAAAAAAAGGATGAGAAAAAACGGGCGAAGAATAAAATAAAGCGACTGCTACGCAGGCTAACCATCACAAGACATTAGGGTGCTCATGCAAGCGATGTCGAGAAAATGAATGTTATTGTCGGCAGGCGAGGGGGGCTGGATTAAAAACTGTGTTTTATAGTGTCAGTTTGTGGTAATTACGTACGGGCGTCATTGGTATTACTGTTTGGTGCAATATTTTATCAACACTTCCATTGCATCGACAGTAATAGGCATGTTTTACATGTATCTGACTTCGTATTCTGACTTCCAGATCTAAGAAGACAATTCTGTACTGTAAAATACTGAACAATTGTCTAAAGATGATTTTATATCAAAATTTTTATTCTAGCCACAAATACCTAAAATCAATACCGTAACTGACTCAATGATGTTTCTAGTGCTTCAAGTGATGTAGTTTCCGGAATCATATTTTGATTTTAAATATGATCCAGCTCATTTGAACAGCTGTTACAATGTAAAATCTGAGGTAAAATTGAAATCGATGTTGGCCTGGGGGCGCACTCTTTTCATTTTCAATTACGCTATCCACATACTCAGAGCCTCCTGGTACCCAGGGTACTATCCACACGAACTGTATAAAATATTGACCCAATTTTACTAGAAACTGAATTCCTTCGTCTGAGTGTCTGACGGACACTGAGTCATCCGTATCCAGGCAATTAATTAGGGTGGATTGCAGATATGTCGTACATTTAAAAGAATTTCATATATTTTGGTTCCAGAGAGAATAACACTTTCTGATATCCAACTATTTGTTTGTTTCTGACATTGAAATTTTCGGGTTTTCAACTTTAAATGTTTTGGGGGTTGCCCTTTCCCCAAATCCCCCTCCCCCAAATCGCGCAGGGGAGACAGAAAGAAAAAAAAATGTGCACCAAGAAAGTTCGAAAAAAAATATTCGTGAAATGAAAAAAATTCGTGCAAGGGATTATATTTTAAAAAATTATCGACACAAGCAAAAAATTTAAAAAAATATTCGTACAAGTTATAAAAAAGTCCCACTTCCACCCCCCCCCCCCCCCCCCTTTTCTAATGGTCCGTCCCTTTATATTGGCCGTTTTTATACTAGAGACGCATTATGCGTCTGGACGCATAACCGTCTTCTACATTATTCGTCTAGTATAAAGACGGGACGCAGGGACGAATAATACTTAGCCTGAGTAATTCTGCTCAGTACGAGAGGAACCGCAGATTCAGACAATTGGCTCATGCACTTGCCTGAAAAGACAATGGTGCGAAGCTACCATCTGTTGGACTAAATAATACTAGACGAATAATGTAGAAGACGGATTATGCGTCCAGACGCATAATGCGTCTCTAATATAAAAACGGCCATAGTTAATAGAGGACATAGACGCACAATGCGTTTTGTGCCCGTCTTTATACTAAGGACGCATAACCAGACGAACAACAAATGCTCGCCCAAGTTCGTCCAGACGCATAATGCGTCTCTAGTATAAAAACGGCCATTAAAAGCTAGCCTAATAACAGACCTACGTTTCACCACATTTCACCCGCCCTAAAATTCGTCGACGCTAATTAAAAGCACACAACGCAACTGACAGTTTGGTTTAGCGGTCAATGCCAAGGTCAACTGCTCTCAAACGTGAATACCATCATGATCCCATCAAGACATCAGGGTTTCCATGTTCAGTTGTCAACGCCTTTTGCTCATATTACACAACATTTCCATGCAAGCCGGCACGTTTTGACATTTTGAACCACAGGCCACAGTGGGCTGATATATTTCAATATTTTTCACTGTGATTCTGCGAAGCTCGCTACTTGTTGCAAAATTTTATGCAATTGTTGAGAACAATTTTTCAGATCTCAAATTTTTCAGAATTGTACACGGAATTTATACAAATCGAACGGCGTTGGCGATAATTGCAAAGTAAGTATAAATGTATAATTTGCTATAAAAGTTCTATAATTCTGTTTCCTTTTGACTGTAGTTTGTCGTGCCTTTGGCTATTTACATAGCCGTATATAAAAAGTTATTAATATACAGTTGTGTCGCTACCATCTTATATATTTCTTATATTTATTCTTTGCGGTAATAATTTTGGCAGGAAATTCGGCGCAAAGGAAATGTTTTGTGCCGGTATGCCCACGTGAGCTTTGTGTTGTCAATTTCAAAGTCGATTTGCCGCCTTGGCGAACTGTCGCTGGTTAATAAGCCACGAGTTTAAAAGTCCAAAAACATGGCTGTTTTATCAGCGAAAATCAACGATTTATGTTTAAAAGATGCCGACGCCAGTCTTAAAGAATCATTGGTGTGTACAGTGCCAATTGCCCAGAGGAAGTTGTCGGAAAATGTCCTTCACTTGGAGGAGCATGAAAGCCTATTATATGATGTCGCTCTGTTATGTGGGCCAAACCAACAAAGAATTCTCGCTCATCGCGCTGTATTAGCCAGCAAAGTACCAAATTTGATAGAAATGATCGAATCAAACAATAACGAAGCGACGATTTTGCTACCCGACGTCGAAGCGAGCGCTGCAGAAGCTTTGATGAACTTTGTTTACACTTCAAAACTTGACTTGACACCAGATAAAATTTGGGACGTTTTATCCGCCACTGAAACGCTAGGAATCAACGAAATACTCAATACATGTCAAGAATACATACAGCAGAATATTTTGACCGATTCTTGGTTATATGCGAGGCAGATCGCCCTAGAACAACGCAGCAAATGGTTGCTAACGACTGTCGATAGTTATATATATCAAAATTTTTCTGCCCTATTGCAAAGCACCGATTTCCTTCAGCTACCTCGCCTGCAAGTTGAAATATTCAACAAGAAAGAGGATTTTAGAAACGAAAGCGAAGGCTCAAATGAAATTCTTGGCCTCGTAGTCGATTGGTGTAAAGTTAAACTGGAGGTAAAATATTTCTTTTATATTTTTAAATTTTATTCTCGCGCCATTTTATGTTCCCGCCAAATAATTATTTTGATACATATGTAGCGATAAATGTACCGCAAAAAAAGGTTTGAGGTTTATTTTAAAATGAAACAAAATACATTAAAAAGTATGTGAAACAAAATACATTAAAAAGTGCATAAGTCTTGCTTTTTTCGCCACCTAACGGGAAACTCCCGTAACTAGGCAAAAAATTTTCAATCCTTCTGTTATTTATAGCAGCACTTGATTTGATTTTTACCGCCGAAATATGACAAAAAATTTTACATTAAAAACCTGTTAAAAACCGGCATTAAAGCTCTAAGATTCAATGTATATATCGGCTTGTTTACTGCAAGGCTTTATTGGAGTCATTTCCAGTTCGTAACGACCGGCTTATCTCTTACCGATTTGAAAAGACGGAGCTGGCAAAAGTTAATCCTGTTTACGAGTTCCGCTATTATAGAAAATCCATTATTTATTTTGAGCGAAGTATTCAATTTATGAAAACACGTTCGGTTTATGCTTTCTTTTTTAGTTTCTCAATTTTAAACAAAATTTGGGTTTTAGTTGACAGAATATCGGAATTTTATTTGCCTCCATTTATGGAGCGAGACAATTTTTACCACCATTGAAATTAATTAGAATTCGTTGATTTCGTAATTTTTGTTCTCGAATCCCATCGGGGATTAATTAGCAAACATAATCGATTCTTTTGTTTATGTATCAGAAACAAAAGCTCTATCAGTTCTAAACTTTCCACCCCCCAAAAACAAAGATAATATTTTTGTTTCTGGGATCAGTGGGATGCTTAATAAGTTTTGGAGTCAAAGTTTTCTGCCGAGTTCATTAATATTCTTCCTAATAGATTATTTCCTGTGCCTGCTAGCATTTATATGCAGGTCTGAAAATTTTCTGGGATCCGAGATGCCATGCTTCTTAGTAAAGGGCCAGGGCCGCCCAGAGGGGGGGGGCAAAGGGGGCAAATTGCCCCGGGCCCCGAGTTTCTGGGGGCCCCTGAAAATTTTTTGTAGGGCCCCAGCCTTTTTTGTGTGTTAAATATTTCCGCGCAAAGGACAAGATATCTGTTTTCTTGGGCTAAGTACCGAATTTTTTTTGGGGGGGGGGAAGAGGTTATATTTTTTTCCTGGAAAATTTTTTTAGATAGGGGCCCCTAAAAAAAAATTTGCCCCGGGCCCCCGCCAACCTCTGGATGGCCCTGTAAAGGGCGAATGGGCGATGCCAGGATTTTTAACACCGATACTTTGAAGTTTAGTACTGGTCGATACCGATACTGTATTTCGATACCAAAATAAACACAACATTTCTATTTTTGATACCGGAAGTGAGTACTTAAATTGCTAGTATTGGTTGCTTTCTATACCTGTCGGTCAGTGGAAAAACATTTTTCATTACTGTATGTAACCTAAATTAAGCTATGTAAGTAAACATTATTAAATATTTCCACACATGACTTGACACACTACATTTTGAATATTAATTAAGAGTTATTCTTATTCAACCAAGAAGTGAAGTTAAACAAACCGTCTAAAAAGGGTGCAAGTATGGAACAATACCACGTCAGTAATCGATACCGATACCACTATTTGCGGTTTGCTTCTCAAATATGACTGAGACAAAATGTAATCATGCAGACAACTGCATATTATCTTTACAACAATGGTGATATTACTTTAGTAACCCAACCCAACCCAACATTCTTTGTGAAAGAGAACCGGAGCATTTGTGGAAAACCCACAATTTCCGGCAGAGCGTTGACAAACTCTTTTCACATACGTGTGTTGTGAGAATCTTGGAGACGATTCAAGACGCTTGCTCAGACGACTGCACTACCACTAGGTCAATAATTTCAGATACAAACCCGGACATGCATGTTGTGTTTCTTGTACATAGCCTTGTCTGAGGCCAAAAATTAACTTTTAGGAGGAAGACCTGCTTGAAGGACTGATGGAACACAACCATTTGGTCTACCTCACACCAGACAACATCTTGAAAGATTGTAAAAACTCAGACTTCGAAGATGAACCAGATTGCCTAACTGATGCCCAGAAAGAATATGTCAGACAACAATCAGACGAAAAACAAGCAAGTCCCTCGAGATCGCCTCGGCGAGCAAGAAGCTTGTCTTATACATATATGAAAGGTCTGCATATTATAGAATAAGTCTTAGGGGGTATTTATATATATGGTGTCATGTTGACTTGACTACTTGAGCTAGCTTGTTTTACCAAATCAAGGACTGGCCGTCTTATGAGAACAAAAAAACTCGGCTGAGAAACTATGCAGTCAAACCTCGTAACAGACACTTCTCTTAAAGTAATCACCTCTTTTGACCAGACACCCAAAGCTCTTGTCCCAATCTTTTGACCAGACACCCAACCTTTTGACACAAGGCTAGGTGATTATGACCAGACACAGACCAGACACCCAAAGCTCTTGTCCCAATCTTTTGACCAGACACCCAACCTTTTGACACAAGGCTAGGTGATTATGTATATGCAATGCAGTTGAATAGTAATAAAGTACAAAGTTAAATGCCATATTGCATCATTCATTATTTTTGAAATTTTAGACCACTCGAGAAAAAAGGCATTGCAGTTTCCAAAAACAAGTATTTCTGGTTCAGAAAACCAGTTTAAGCTGCTCGCCAGTTCCGCTGTATCGGATGGTTGCTGTGTCGGTATTGCCGTCATTGCTTCGGAAGTGGTCTGTATCTCAGCGTATTATAATGAACAGACGGCCAGTTGTAGCTTGTCAGAGTCGAGTGATTCCTCAAGTAATGATGATATGGGGTTGTCCTTGATAAAGCCAATGATTAGAGGTAAGGATTTTGGTAGATGGAAATTTTGCGTGAACGATTATACACAATTTTGCAAAAGATGCAACTGTAGGCCGGCCCTCTGGCAGGAATTGAACCTGCGGCCCTGTGATCCCGGTGCAGCATTCTAACCAACTGAGCTCGGGGGTGGATCCAGCAAGGATCTGCACCGTTGTTGACCAAGGCCAACAGGGGTATGCACTCCCCCCTATAAATCCACCCCTGACTGAGCTACAGAATCCAGTTGTCGAGCTCTAACTACAAGTTCATGTATGTGTATAGTGGATGATACCAGCGTAAGGTATTGGGTAAGTATCGAGAATTTGGGGCATCTCGTTGACGTTCATGCAAATATTTCAGGACGTTGCAGTGTTGGTGTTGCAGAGGTGAACAACAAAGTTTATGCGGCGGGTGGGTATGACCGAGGACATTGTCTCCACCTGGTTGAATGTTACGACCAAGAGACGAACCAGTGGGTTCCGACTACACCATTAAAATGTCCTCGTGGGAGACTGGGTCTCAGTTGTTTAGATGGTATGTGATAACTGCTTAATTTTGATGACATTAATAATTAAAGTAACAAAATTCAAACCAATTGGCAAATACATTTTATCCATTCCAGGCAAACTCTACGCTATTGGTGGTTCAAGTGGCAACTCAGAATTAAAATCAGGTGAATGTTTTGACCCAGAAACGAGAGATTGGTCAAAGATCTCAGATATGTCAATATGTCGAAGTAATTTTGATGTTTGTGTGTTGGGTGGAAAGCTTTTTGCAGCTGGTGGCACCGATGGTAGACATGCTTTGGAATCTGTTGAAGTTTTTGACCCAGGTGGGTATCCATCCAACGTTGCATCTTTAAAGCTTGCTGTTGAGTAAATCCATTTACCGAGTCAAATCAGAGTTTGTCGGTTAACCGAGTCAAATCCGAGCCCGAGTCAAATCCGAGCCCGAGTCAAATGTCCGAGTCATTGTTTAATCGATGGTCTTTGCAGTTCAATGACTTAGTACCCTAATCCTAACCATAATCCCACTCCTAACTTACCCCAACCCTATTCAACTGTGAATTTTATTCAATTTCGGAGTTTGTCGGTTACTGACCGACTCAAATCCGAGTTCGAGTCAAATGTCCAGTCACTGTTTAACTGTCTTTGTCGGTAAAATGACTTAGTATCCTAACCCTAAACTTACTCCTAACCCTATTCGACTGTGAATTTCTTCACTTTCGTCTTTTTTTTTTACGCGACTCGGGCGTTTGACTCGGGCTTGGGACTGACTCGGACTCGGATTTGACTCGGTAAATGGATTTACTCCGTAACTAGAGTTTTAGATTTACTGAGTCAAATCGTCAGGGCATGCTCCCCCAGAAAATGTTTGATTTTCTAAGGCTTAGAAACGCTATTTCCTGCATTCATTCTGGGAGCAATTTTATAAAAAAATCAGTAATGATAAACAGTGACACAATGACTATAATTTCATAGTGTGTCTCACAATTGTACTACAAGTATCCAATCGTAAGAATTCAAATACTCTTGGTCCATCACGATCAGGTGCATGCATAATAAAAAACGTGTTTGTGGTAATATTTGGGACGCTAATTCGTACTTCTACCCTGACTCGGTTGACTTGGTTACTGACTCGGTTGACCCATACTGTCATAGCCAGTTACGGGTCTGTTGGGTAATGATTCTCATCAGCCAGAAAAAAGAAAAGAAAACGTTAGATGTTTCTACTTCTCAACGTTCTGAGGGAAAACGCTAAACACTCGCGTTTAAAAACTCACTGAGTGTATTTCATTGCAGAGAAAAACACATGGTCAAACATCGCTCCGATGCAAGTCGGTCGCGAGGGTGTTTGTGTGGAAGCCATGAATGGTCATCTGTATGCTTGTGGTGGCTACAGCGTATGGCATTGTGTGGACTCGGTCGAACGCTACGATCCTTCCAACAATCTCTGGTCTATGGTAACACCATTGAACACGGCACGCCGAGGCGCAGCGGCTGCCGTCTTGAGCGAAAAACTTTATGTGATTGGCGGGACTGATGGTAGCAACATCTTAAAGTCGGTCGAGTGTTACGACTCGGTTTCAGACACTTGGTCATACGTTGCCAGCATGAACTCCTGTCGTCATAACGTTGGCGTAACTGTTATCAACGGTTATATCTTTGCGGTCGGTGGCTTTGACGGAGTTGCGTTTCTGAATACGTCTGAGTTTTACGATCCTAAGTTGAATAAATGGTGTGGTTTTACTCAAGTGTGACTCTGAGACACAGATTTCTCAAATTCGAAGGTTTTATAATGTAACCTTGTGTAACACCACATTTTTTCGTGTGAATGGTTTCGTGTGGTGCATCGGGTGTGTGACTGGCCGTTATACTAGCATGTCTTTGGAACTTTGGGGCCAAGGTTCAGCGTGAATCTATCCCGATATATCGCATATGATGCTTGCAAAGAGTAATTTATTGATTGAAGTGTGTGACTGACACATGAGTCGTGTGTTGTCGGAATTTCTACCATGTTGAAACCACCAGTCCAGGATTTCTATGTGATTTTTTCCAAGCGTAATTTATTAACAAGTGTGTGACTGAGGCTATTAACTTATTCATGCGTGACTGGAATTTGTTTCCAAAACAAAAAAAACAACGTCAAATACGACATAGTTTATATTTGTAGTTTTTAAGGGATTGTTTTATTTGCCTTACATGTACTTGTATAGCTCATTCATAATTGGGTAGCTGACATATTTGTTATGAGTTTGGTCGACATAAAACGTTGGAACGTTCATGCTCTAATAGGGAGTTAGCGTCGACAACGGCGGACTTGTTCCATAAGAAGTAGCTAAAAATACGCAATAGATCTTACCTCTCTTATTCTCTTTTACACAATCGCCTCGTTTTCATGTCAAATACTTATGTTTTGTGCTTAGTAGGGTTGAAAATTACTTTTGTTACTGAGCCTAAGAACAGCAAGAAACAAATTCGTCCAGGAAAACATGGGAATAGAATCTTATCTGCCCCTGACATGCTAAAATAAGTTAACATGGAAACGAGGCCATTGGGTAAAAGAGAATAATCGGTAAGGTCTATTACCTAAATTGGGTAAAGACCAAATAAGCATTGATTGGCCCATGATGGGCTTGGGGAGAGGGGAGGTTGTAGAAGCAATTGCAGAAGAAGTTGCAATTGAGTGAGAAGTTGCGAGCGAGTGTAGAACTTCAAAAACATGATTTTTGTGTGCATACTTAGTGAATGCATGTTAACTATTTATAGTTTGAACAAAATGGATGGTGTGATTTTTGTAAGGTGTGTGCCTGAACTTATAAAGTGTTGCAATTCTTCGTTTGGTTGAAATTTTATATTTTAGTGTGCCAGTAATAAAGTATTCGGCACAAGTGTGTCGTTTATAAGTCTTTGTGTGGTGTTTTGAAGTTTTCCTTCCGAAAGTGTGACAAATGGGGGGAGGGCATCATTGCTTTTACACCACAGCTAGCTCAAAAGTTTTGTGAATCATTTAGGCAAACCACTGCTCCATACCAAGGTTACATGTGATTATTTCCCCAAGGTACCACCCACCCTTAACCCATTAAATGGCAGCACTCTCCCCTTGACAAGTAAAAAATAATCAGGGTGCATTGCCACTTGAAGGGTTAAGTAAACTAGTGGTTGATAGACCCTTGATAGGTGTGTTATTTTAGAGGTGTGCCCAAGCCTGTGTGCCGTGTGTGATCATCTACAGTGCATCATGGGTGGAGACAAGGTGATATATATATATATGCAACACTTGAATAGCAATAACAGGGTTTTTATTAATGTATCAATGTTTTTTTATTAATTAAATTCTTATATTACACATCACTACTAAAGCTTCAGAATCATAGTTTAAAACTTGTTGTTCAAAGTCTGCTTGAACAAACAGTAGCTGGTGAAATGTCCATGATCATCAACTGAATTTGGTCATTCTTCTGTGGTAGGGCAGGAAGAAGCCTTGGGGGGGGGGGGGGGGCAGGAAGAAGCCTTGGGGGGGGGGGAGAAACTTGTGTGGAGGTGGGGGGAAATGTCCAACAAGCAAGTTTATCAACTTTTAGCAATCTTGTGAGGCTTTTCATCACTTCCCAAGTTTTGCAACTAGTTGAAGTTCCTCTAGCAAGCTCGAATATTGCATCATCACGTGCCAACATGACAACCACGGATTGTTAACATAAGCAAAAAAATAAACACAGGAGTATGTATCACAGAATAAGTCATCATATTCTGCAACTCTAGTCTTTGACACAGCAGCACTTTGTACACAAACAACAGACCCAAATTTGATCCATTCCATAATGTCCTCAGGGCTGCCTTGCGCTTCTCATTTTCCAATATTAAACGTATACACACTATTGCCACAAAATAGCCCGTACAGCCATCAAATGCGAATAAAGGAATAAATACACTCCACCATGACCACGTTACGTCCCCTTCTAGCTTTAACGCGAGAAATATGGAAAAAACAAGGAAACAAAGTACAGAGAGCCATATTTCGAAAATAGACACTCCTAACCAACGCGTGAGTTCCTTCCTTGAAAACAACATTTTTGGACTGTTATTAAGCTGTGAAGCGTGGACAATTAGTTTTCTAGCCTTCAAAGACACCAGAATAGGACTGAGGTGCTGAAATTGTTGAAGAATTATACAGAAAAAAGAACAAAAATCACTTTCAAAATTCAAATATGAAAATATTTCGAAGTTTCACAACAAAAACAATGTTTCCACTTTACAAGGGAAATTTTGTCAGCCTCTTCAATGTATATTCCCAAAAATTCCATATAATTTTTTGTCAAAAATTCTTTTTAAATATTTGAAATTTCATTATTTGGTTTTTCACAATAATAGATATATTTCCTATTAAACTTATACTTGTTTCATTTAAATTTAAAAGGCAAGACTTCCCTTGTTTGCGAGTTCATATTAAAATTTTTACCAATACTTCAGTTTTCTCCAAAGAGGAAAAAGAGGAAACATCGGTTATCGGGTCGTGATCGGGCATCTTCGGGAAGAAATCGGAAACCCGGGAGATTTGTATAAAACAAAATGGCCGCGCCATAGGAGTGAAAAAATTTAAATTTTGAATTTCAATTTTTTACAGCCTGACTAAGCTCGTAAATCATGGATATGTTTGCCAAGAAGACTGCTTCATCGAAAGAATGCATAACTCCGCATAAAATAAGTCTGTTGGTTTTAATATCTGAGCTTTGTGACAGGCTTGATAGAGAGGAAATAACTCCTTTTAGGAAACATCATCATGCCCTTATGTTGTTGGTCTTGAATTTGATGCAGGCAAGGTTTTAATGTTTTGTAGTGTTTGCTTGCAAAGTAATAAAGTAGAATATTGTACTATTTTGAGGTGTTGCTGTATATTTGCATTTATACAGATACAGCTCTATTAATCATGGACAATAATCGCATGCTATCACGAACAATCTGTGTCAGTGCAGGTAGTGCTAATAATAGAAAGCTGCAGACCTGAAAAATACCAGGAGAACTTTGATGTTTTGGGCCTTTGCTCGAATTGAACTTCTCCTTCTATATTGTTCATGCTATACCCCTCTTAGCCCATATGTCGACACATATCTCATAACTCTGGAAAAAAACAAACCCTATTAATTGACTTAAGCCAACAGATTTCTCCACTTAAAGAGTCCACTTTATAGGAGTGTGTACTTGCCATAGGATGCCTTAAATAGCATTCAGCAATTAATGATACCTTTTTATATATATAGATAGATAGATAGATAGATAGAGACTTTATTTAAAGAGGGTGACACTTAATAGTACGAAGTACTAATGAACTTGTGGCCCTCATATATTTAGACAACAGATATAGAATTTAATGAGCTGAGAAGAAAATTAGATGAAATAGATCATGAACAAGCCCAGCTATCTGCATTGCTTCTAGACAGGTATGGATGTATAACATTTGTCATATTTTGTTTAGAATATTTCAATATTTGTTAGAATGACACTGGTTTCAATTTGATCACCCAGAGTCATGTTTAACTAGCTTCACTTTGATTGATTGAGCTAATTGAAAATTTCAAACTCTCCTTACAAAGTTAACATTGAGGTTTTATTTGAGGATGAGTGAACAATGTAATTATTCTTAGATGCAAACAGCTGTATATACTGTAATAATATACTGCATTATACATTAACATATGTATGTACACTCTTGAGAAATTATATATTATGTTAGAAAAATATGTTGCAATTTTGTAGGTTAAACAGTATCAGTGATGGAGAGTCAAGTTTGTGTGATTTCTTTTTACAAAATCTGGATGATCTTCTAAATGTTGAAGAAGAAATTATGTTGACAAGAACAAGCTTCTTTGGTATGCAATAACTACAATGAATGTCCTCAATATGGTTCTTAAATTGCAAGTCGTGTATTCAGATTTTCTTACAATTGTTGCACATAAAGTCTGTGGATTCTTCTTGCCTCAAAATTCTTGAAATCTCAGAAATCTTGCCATTTTTTACTAATTCCCATACTGTTTCTGCAAAATCTATTGTGGATCTTATAGTTTGAATCATAACTTGATAGAAACTTACCCATTTGCTGAAGTTCCTGCATGTGAAATTTATTTTTTGTAAATTTTTACTCCAGGTCTTTTTGTGAGGAAGATGGTCCTTCTCTTCAATAAAATGTCATTTGGCCAAGTTCTACATTTGACAACTTTATTGAAAGGTTATCTGCAAGCTGCCCATGATCACTCTGAGACAGCCACACCCATGGATATGCAGCTAAATGGGTACATATTGCTTGCACAGTATAAATACCATGTGTGAACATTTCATTAGTTTAAATTTCTAAAGTTTGCAACATATATCATGGTGTAAATGGTATTCAATTTTTCAGAGATTCGTTGGAGACCAAAATACCAATATCAAGTCGACAGGCAGAAAACTTCTTGGCCAAACAAGTATGTTTGTAACAATGCTGTTACCCATGCATTTAAGGTCATGTTAAGTTTGTGAATCTCGCAGAATTTGGCTATAATAATTTTAATATCTTGTAGGCTGCTTTGCTCCAATCTTGTGAACAAGCTGCTGAAAATCCAACCAAACTACAAGAACAAATTGTTACTATTTTACGTGATGCCCCAAATCTCGCTGAAGCGGTAAATCCGTGCTACTTTGCAACCTTGGTATTCTGTCTAATTCTAACTCTTTTTCCATCCATTTTCTTCAGCATTTTGTACAGTACCTCAACTGCGTCAGAGTGGGAGAATTCAACCAAGCGATGGATTGTTTGTATCATTATTTCGACCGTAAACAATGGGAGGATAGCAACAAGTCTGCCGCGAGCAACGAGGGCAGTGTGGGCGCGAAGAAGGATCGTTGTAAAAGATTTTGTTATGCTGCTTTAAACCTGGCGATTTTACACACACATTTTGGTCATAGGTACTGAAAGCCTCGTACGGACAACGGGACAAGCAATTTTTCCTTGACAAGTTATATTTGCTCGTGTTTACGGCAAAACATTGACAATTTTTTCTTGCCAAGCCAGCCTTGTTCCAAAGCTAGGCATGCCAGATTTTGGACAAGAAATACTTCTATGGTTTTGGCAAACAAAAGGGAAATTACTTGTCAAGGAAAATTTGTTGACTGTATACACACGAGAAAGTAAACTTGTCAAGGGAAACTTGTTAACTGTGCACACGAGAAAGTAAACTTGTCAAGGAAAACTTGTTGACTGTACACACGAGAAAGTAAATTTGTCAAGGGAAACTTGTTAACTGTGCACACGAGAAAGTAAACGGAAAACGTGTTGACTGTACACACGAGAAGGTAAAGTTGTCAAGGAAACTTGCTCGACTGTATTGGGCTCAAGCAGTATATATTTCCTTTCTGAACAGTAAAAGTGTATAAATGAGATAATTTTCTAGTGACTCTTCTTTTTAATACTTTTAGAAAACAGGCATTGACGGTGTTGCAAGAATCAATTAGGATCGCGCAGGAATCTAATGACCACATTTGCCTAGCGCATGGTTTAAGATTGTTGTATAAACTAAAGCAAGAAGGAGACAGCCAAGCTAAACATATTCTTGACAGATTCCGCGCCCGTGCATCTGAACTAAAATTACCGGTAAGTGACAAACTTGAATTCATTTCACATCAATCTCAAAATATCAGACAGGATAGAAATGTTTTAATCTTCAAATTTTTCTATTCATGAAGTATCTGGAGTCACTCAGCTTGCTTATGAAAATAAGTCAGATGATTTTTGAGGGAGAAACACCGCCCAGGTACAGAATTTTATTTTCCGATTACTAAAATCAGTTTTTCCAAACTAAAACGTTTTTTAGCCATAATCATCTCAGATGAACTCGTCGAGTACGCATCTTGGTTACGTTATGAACTTTTAAATATTCCGTTTTTTAGAGTTTTGAGTATTTTCCAAGAGTTGAATCTTTTAAATTCTGAGAAAGCGTTGTTGGACCTTGCCGCAACGACTCACATAAAGCAGGCTGCTTGCTTGCAGTTCTATGGTCAGAGGTAATTCAAATAATCAGTGAACTAGAGATTACTTTGGGTGCCAGAAGTTTCTCTATTTAATGCAATTTATTTCTTTGTAGCAACATGGCAGTTGTGTACAGTCAGTTCGCTTTGAATCAATGGAAACCGTCGCTCACTGCAGCTCATATTGATAAAGTGAAAGGCACGGGAATGATAAACTCGGAAGCAAAACTTCATGCAATATGTTTCCTTGCTTCACATATGCACAGACAGGTAAATATAGTGAAATATATCTCCGCACTTAGTTATAGGTGCATGCACGATTTGACCTGGATCTTACTGCAGAAGATAGGCAAGCTGCAGTCATCACAGCAAGAAAATGATGTTAATTTTTTCTACAGGGTAATTTTGTTGGATCAATGAAATTGCTGGAATTTGCCAAAAGTATTTGCCCAGAAAATTCAAAGGACTGTAAGGTACGATGTATTGTAAATTAAACTAATCTGGACTGGTTAGCTGATAGCTTTATCAGTTCTTAAACTAAACTAGACAGCTCCATCACTCGTTTCATGTTTTATATCAGATATGGCAAGCTGAGAAGCAAAGAATCCTATTTGACCAAGCTTTGATAATGGAAGATTGGCAAACCGCTTCAGAATCGGCAGAAAATCTCAGAGTTTTTGATGCGTTTGATTCTGATTTACGGTAAACGATACAACTCAATCCTTCATATATTAACGGCTGGATGTAGATTTTACCATTAACTGCAGCGTATGTCGTGGTCAATTCGAAACAATTTTCTCCACAGGAAAGCAAGATTATTCACGAAGTTAAAACAGTTTCAAGCTGCCCATGAAATGTTAAGAAAACTGCTTGAATATTTAGAGTAAGACACAAATTCAGATTTGAATCAAAATGATAACATTTGTTAGAATTTAACAGCGAAAAATTGCGTTTCCAGGAAAAATGCAGAAAATGTTCAGGACGAAAAATCTGTGGAAGAAATGAAAGCAAAGTAAGTATAGAAAAGCCGAGACTTAAAGTCTTGGGATTTGAAGAGTTGAACTGAACTATACTAAACTAACTTTATTTATACTGAATATAGCATTATCAGTTCCAAACTGTTCTTCCTATAGAGGTCCAGTAATGATACATGTATTTAGATATTGTGACGAAGTTAATAAAAGTTAAAAATTAAGTAAAAAAGCCGTTCCTTATTGAATATTGCTTTGAACAGTGTTACTAGAGATGGAAATCTAAACTAAACTAAATTTTTACTGGATAGCTCTGTGAGTTCTAAACTGTTTTTCTTATACAGAAGAAAGCCTGAATACCTGCAGAAAACCTCACATGTGACTGAGGTGAAATTATAATCAGACAAAGTAGTTGTATATATTGCAAGAATCCGCCGAGGAGTGTTTGATATTTTGTTTTTCCTCTTGGTTAGTGTCTACCTGGCGGTGGCAGAAGTGTTTATTGCGTCTAAAGACTATCCCGCCTCCATGACTCACTTGCTCAAATGTAAGACAATCTGTGATTCATACCACATGGAAAATTTCTCAATCATCGCATCACAACACATCGCTGAAGTTCAGGTATCTGTCGTATAGACTCTTGTATTCTAAAATAGACGCCTGTATTCTAAAAGCTCACTCACACTCAATGAGTGGAGGTTCAATCTGAGCTTCCCTTGGGTGTCAATGCTGTTTTCAAATAGCTGGAGGGTGAGTAGTCACATAGTAAGGTACGACGCTAACCCTCCAGCTATTCAAAAACAGCATTGACACTCAAGGGAAGTTCAGATTAAACCTCCACTCTTTGAGTGTGAGCGTGAGTGAGCTTTTAAAATATAGGATCACAGGCGTTAGTCATGCAGAACCTCTCTAATAATAAATGCGAGACCTTCTTCTACTTCATCGTATTTCATTTCCAGTTTCATCTAGGCTTACCTGAAAAAGCTTTATCATCTCTTCGTCAAATCATGATCAACGCTATAAGTAATGGTAAGTTTTGTCGAAATGTTTGGACCTATTAGATCAGTGGTTTGGACGTGAATATAATTTGTTTGGATCAAGGCGTTTTTTAATACCATGGACTGACTGGTGGGTCATTTGCCCCACTGGGCCCCTTCCTCTGCCCCACCACTGAAGAAAAAAATGGCCTATTGCCCCAAAGCCAGAGTTCTAGGACCTGTATTGAGTATGAGTTTAACATTGAAAAGAAGTTTAAAAAACAAAATTTGTTCGTGAGGATACTTAAATTTATGTTGTGTTTGAATGTTTAGCGTGCAATTTGTTACAAATTTCACCATTAAAGCTGAGATATTTTAAAAAAATGTGTTCTCAGAATGCAGGAAATGCTATTTCAGAGACCCAAATTTTAAAGATTTCCTGAGGGGGGGATGCCCCCAGACTCGTGTCTGCGGCACTAGCCTCACACCTTCGGTGATCGCATACTATTCTGGGGGGAGGGCAAGGGAAATGGGCCCCTTGGCGGTTTTGCCCCAACACTGAAGAATCCTTAAAAAATGCACTGGTTTGGATAGAGAACTCCAAAATCATGGGGAGGACTCAGTGAAAAGGAGACAAAAGGGAGATTTTGGGGAAGAAATTGCCAGTAGGGGTGGGGGGAGGGCTTCTATAAAATGTTATAATCTTATTGCGACATGCCTATCTTATTGCCTAACGAAAAGCAACCCTGTTTGACTGTATTTTAACTTATTATAGTTGATTAGTTACCGTACAGATGTTTGAAATAGAATTCAAAAAATACATTAATAATTCATGAGGAAAACACAAAGAAAAATCATAAGCGCTTGTCGTATATTTACATGTGATAGAGATTTCCCTTGATTTACATAATCTTTAACTTTGATTTTCTCGACTTACACAACGTATTTTTTGAAAATTACTTCGTCAATGAACTCACTAGATCGATCGTTTTTGAAGCAATTTAAAACATTCGCAGTGCATGTTTTATCAGACCTAAAGCTAGCTATCTAAAACAGTCTGTGCCAGTATAGGTGTAGTCACGATAGCAGACAGCTTACGTGGGAAAGAGATGCTTTAATACAGTTCAAAATATGGCTTGTTCACTAGGCTGTCATTTCACGATATGTTGCATGAAGTTACTCTTCACTCGATGTCAACTTCAGCAAAGGGAAGACCGCAGTAAAGAGGGAAGAAAGTCAGTGTTGCTGTCAGTATTACCAACTCTGGATTTCATATTAAAAGACTTCAAACAGATGTATGCCTCAGCGAAGATACGAGATGTCCTCCTGTTTCAGGTAAGCTTGCATGGTTTCAGTAAATATGTTCGAGTATTGCAAACATGCATGGGGTTTTCAATAAGCAACCGTGGTTTGTGTCTGGACTACATGAAAAAGATATCTCAAACGTGGTGGTCCAGTGTAGGTAGTATTCTACAATAAGCTGCCGTGGTTTGTGTCTGAACTACCTGAAAAAGATATCTCAAATGTGGTGGTCCAGTGTATTAGTATAATTCTACAATAAGCTGCCGTGTTTTGTGTCTGAACTACCTGAAAAAGATCTCAAACGTGGTGATCCAGCGTAGGTAGTATTCTACAATAAGCTGTCGTGGTTTGTGTCTGAACTACCTGAAAAAGATCTCAAACGTGGTGATCCAGTGTAGGTAGTATTCTGCAATAAGCTGTCATGGTTTGTGTCTGAACTACCTGAAAAAGATATCTCAAACGTAGTGGTCCAGTGTAGGTAGTATTCTACAATAAGCTGCAGTGGTTTGTGTCTGAACTACCTGAAAAAGATATCTCAAACGTGGTGATCCAGTGTAGGTAGTATTCTACAATAAGCTGCAGTGGTTTGTGTCTGAACTACCTGAAAAAGATATCTCAAACGTGGTGGTCCAGTGTATTAGTATTCTACAATAAGCTGCCGTGTTTTGTGTCTGAACTACCTGAAAAAGATATCTCAAATGTGGTGGTCCAGTGTATTAGTATAATTCTACAATAAGCTGCCGTGTTTTGTGTCTGAACTACCTGAAAAAGATATCTCAAACGTGGTGATCCAGTGTAGGTAGTATTCTACAATAAGCTGCCGTGGTTTGTGTCTGAACTACCTGAAAAAGATATCTCAAACGTGGTGGTCCAGTGTAGGTAGTATTCTACAATAAGCTGTCGTGGTTTGTGTCCGAACTACCTGAAAAAGATATCTCAAACGTGGTGGTCCAGTGTAGGTAGTATTCTACAATAAGCTGTCGTGGTTTGTGTCTGAACTACCTGAAAAAGATATATCTAACGTGGTGATCCAGTGTAGGTAGTATTCTACAATAAGCTGTCGTGGTTTGTGTCTGAACTACCTGCAAAAGATATCTCAAACATCGCTGCCAGTGTAGGTAGTATTCTACAATAAGCTGTCGTGGTTTGTGTCTGAACTACCTGAAAAAGATATCTCAAACGTGGTGATCCAGTGTAGGTAGTATTCTACAATAAGCTGCCGTGGTTTGTGTCTGAACTACCTGAAAAAGATATCTCAAACGTGGTGATCCAGTGTAGGTAGTATTCTACAATAAGCTGCCGTGGTTTGTGTCTGAACTACCTGAAAAAGTTATCTCAAACGTGGTGATCCAATGTAGGTAGTATTCCACAATAAGCTGTCGTGGTTTGTGTCTGAACTACCTGAAAAAGATATCTCAAACGTGATGGTCCAGTGTAGGTGGTACCTATCTCAAACGCCTCTCGAAACATATACTATATTGCGCATGTATTTTTAATATTCCCCACATCAAACTATTATAACAAATTCTAGGCTTTTATCTACAACGAGTTGGGTTATATGGAGAAGAGGAATCAATGTTCAATTGAGTTTCGTTGTCTACATACAGCAGACAGTAAGATAATCACTAGACGAGTTTCATCATTGCTATCAAATTAACTGTAAGTAAATGAATATTTTGTAAATACTGAAATTAGTTTAATAGTCCTTATTTACACCAGATAGCTTTATAAGTTCTATACTGTTCTCTCTAGAGGTCCACGTGCAAAAATCTAACAGCTTGTCAATGCTTGTTCCCGGTTGACAAGTCTGCCAGTCTGAAACAAGTTCTTATCATCTTGTAACAAGGTTGATGAGGCCAACAGTCACGCAACAAGTTGTTCTAACAAGTCTGATTTCGCGTAACAAGTTGTTAAAGGCACAGTTCAGCCTTTTGAATGATGGTTTTCAAGGGCCATTTCAGCCTTTTTAATTGAAAAAACTAACTAGGAAAATCAATTATACACGATTCAAGATCAGTAAACAAAATGTTTTTAACAATAAGAATGTTTTAAAATGTTAAAAACATTAAGTTTGCTGATCTTGAATTATGCTTAATTGATTTTCCTAGTTAGTTTTTTCAATTAAAAGGGCTGAAATGCGCCTTAAAAACCATCATTCAAAAGGCTGAACTACAACCTGTTATGAACAGCCTGTATTAGTCTTGTTGGAAAATGAACTGTCTTTGCCTATTAGTCTTGTTGGAACAATGTATAGCAATAAACTGTCTTTGCCAGTGTAGGTAGTGCCGATCAAATGAACAAGCTTTCGTTGGTAGGAATACAACTACCTGAAAAATATAAGGAGAATTTCGACGTTTCGAGCCAAGGCCCTTCGTCTGGAGTTAACTCCAGCAACTCCAGATAAAGGGCCTTCGCTCGAAACGTCGAAATTCTCCTTGTATTTTTCAGGTAGTTGTATCCCTACCAACGAAAGCTTGCTCAACTTATAACAAGCCTGTTACCGTCATCAACCTTGGCACAAGGTGATATAACAACTTGTTCCAGACCTTTCGCAACAACTGCATGGGAACAAGCAGTGCGAACGCATCCTGATATCGGCTTCACAACAAAGTTGTTACAACTCAGTTGTTTGCAGAATGCAGATCGTGTCAACTTGCGCGTTGTTGGAAGTACAGGTGTGAGGAAACGCAGTACAATGTACAGAGGTGTGAGGAAACGCAGTACAATCTACAGAGGTGTGAGGAAACGCAGTACAATGTACAGAGATGTGAGGAAACGCAGTACAATGTACAGAGGTGTGAGGAAACGCAGTACAATGTACAGAGGTGTGAGGAAACGCAGTACAATCTACAGAGATGTGAGGAAACGCAGTACAATGTACAGAGATGTGAGGAAACGCAGTACAATGTACAGAGGTGTGAGGAAACGCAGTACAATGTACAGAGGTGTGAGGAAACGCAGTACAATGTGTGTTACTTTATCAGCCAAATTATTAAAACTAGAGCAACATCAAGAAACTTTCGCCGTCCATAACTATGAAATCTGCGGCTTCCGGAGTTCACAATAAAATGTAATTGTTGTTTTGCTTGCAAACACTTGGTTTCATCGCAAACGCTGTCATATTCAATGACTACCATCTTGCTGTCTGCAAAACAATCCGATTCACACGAAGTTCTGTTTTCTAAGGGTCTACCGGGCATATGTGATAGGATCATGGTCCGGTAGGAGACACAAATCTCTCGGCCGTAAAACTTCGCCAGTAAAGCGTACCCGTGGTTATCATAGTCCAGATTTGTTACGAGATCTTTTCTTAAGGTGGCTTTCAAACCTTTGTTGGTACATACACTCTTTGCTGTTTTGTTATGTTGACTGCAAAGAAATACCGTGATTTGCACGGAGGATTGGTCGCCAGTTTCTGCTTGACGTGGTAGCGGGCATGTTGGAGTGGTTGACCTCACGGTCATCGTCATGGTTATATAATTGATTAGGATCAGCATGAGTTTAGCACGTGACAGTGCCATTGTCGAACACTTTAGCCCCAGGGTCTGAGCCCAATTATTTTTTTGCGACTGTGAAGAAGTCTGAAAGCGAAAGGGAAAGGATGGTTAGGATCGTATTAGCGCGAAGCAATAACACTGTTTGCTTTGATGCTTGTGATGTTACTCTGAGTGTATATCCACACCGGGCAAGCTTGAAAAATATGCCTGACCACGGTGGGAATCGAACCTACGACCTTTGGAATACTAGCCCAATGCTCTGCCAACTGAGCTACGCGGTCAGGTCGGTTCGAGTATGTGATATTTCGAAACAGTATCTAGTTCCTTCGATATCAATGTAATCTACTAATCAGTAAAGGTCGTAGGTTCGATTCCCACCGTGGTCAGGCATATTTTTCAAGCTTGCCCGGTGTGGATATACACTCACAGTAACATCACAAGCATCATATTCACCTGAGTACATTACACCAACACAGAAAAATCATGATTATTATTAGATAACATTGATATCGAAGGAACTAGACTCAGTTCCGAAATATCATATACTCGAACCGACCAGACCGCGTAGCTCAGTTGGCAGAGCATTGGGCTACTAATCAGTAAAGGTCGTAGGTTCGATTCCCACCGTGGTCAGGCATATTTTTCAAGCTTGCCCGGTGTGGATATACACTCAGAGTAACATCACACAAGCATCATATTCACCTGAGTACATTACACCAACACAGAGAAATCATTACTGTTTGCTTTGTTTTTATTATTATTGAGTTTCTCCGTCATTGGTGAGCGGATTTCCCAACAGGCTATATTGCCCAGTTGATAGGGGATCCGAGGTACCTACGATTTTAATTGACGTCCTTATCCGAGAAAGTCTAAACATTTACTCATCGGTCAATATAAAGGTAGGACTTTCCTCTCAATTATTTTAAGACCTTGAGTAGAGGTCGGCAAGCATGGGACATCAGAGTGTTTACAGTCGCAACACACAAGGGGTTTAATTAAGGTTACAGGACACCCTTTTTGGCGTTTTGTGGAAAATCGCTACTGCGCGCTCAAAATCAGTTCGATTTTCATCAAATTTTCACCAAATGTTAGCCAGTGCATCCAAAATATGATAAAGTTGTAAAATTGACAAACAATAAAATAATGTAAGAATTATTCAGGAAAATCTTAAGTCGCGGTACCTTTACGCTTTTGAGTTATGTTCCTGCTGGTTTTAAGATATATCTATGAAAATATCATTTTTATACAGTAAAATAGTTGTTCTAAAAAATTGTGTGCGGAAATTTTTGTTTATTTCGTCATTCCGCTGATATGGCGATTTCTTTGACGACTGCAATATATTTCTGAATCGTTTGTGTTGCTCCTTATTATTAAAATATCCAAAATTAGAACAAAGCCGACCACAATTTTGAAACTGACGTCTTTAGCGATGTCCTGTGAAAATTTGAGAAAAATTCGTCAGTGAAATCCGCAGGAGCACAACAACTCGTTTAAAAATCAGTAATTGCCGTAAAATTCGTCGGGAGAAAATTGAATTTGAATATTACATTTTCAATGTTTTTCTTATTGCAGCGAAATGTATTTTATTAAATAACTCTGCGAGTTTTCAACAGTTTTTTCGTTCAAACTTGGTCAGGTAGTAGAACTAGTCTAATGCTTTCATGGAAACCAATAAAAATTTTTAGGCAAAATTAACACTCAAAGGTGTTCTGTAACCTTAAGACCTTGAGTAGAGGTCGGCAAGCATGGTGACCACGAAACCAGAGTGTTTACAGCGCAACACACAAGGGGTTTGGCAATAAGTTAAAAGGTTTTTCAAATTTGCTTCATTATGTAGCCTGTAAGGCAGACGCTTTCGGGTCGGAACAATAGGACGCAAAGGCCTGTGGGAATGCTTTCACCCAAATTTTGAGGCAGATAAACGGTGTATGATAAAGAGCGACGGCTAGTTGTCCTAGTTCCCGGCTGGATAAACTGTGTATATTTATCCAGAAGAGTGATTTATCCAAGTCAAATAGACATGTAAATAGCTGTAACTAATTTCTACCTTCAGCTCATTCTTCGTAACCATGTGGACCGAATATTATGCCCGGTATTTGTCACGTCTGAAATCTTGACATAATACAGATGTACTCAGAGCAATATTCTGGCGAGTGAATTTAAATTTATAAACAGCTATACTTTAGCCTGCAAGCAGACGTTGACAATGATGTCTACATGCTATTTGCTAACTATACTTACGAGTATAATTTAAATTCGTAGCTGATTGTGATGTTAGTTACATTTCCTTTCCCTCATTGATATGTTCAGACTTTTTCTTAGCGTTGTTTTGTCCGAGGATTATGAATCGTGGACATGCAAGCCGTCAAAATATTGTATACATATATAGAAACGCTCACTTGCCAGTTCTGCCTGTTTTCCAAACTGATCTCACGATGCAATACTAACTTGTTTGCCTGTTTATCTTGTGTGTGTGCTTCAGACAATTCTCTGGCCACATACGGAGTTAAACGTGCTGTTGTCAAATAAACGTAATGAAAAACTAAACTTATATTGTTTCTTATGCATTATTAATTTCCTGCGAGTAAGATTTGACGTTCATTTTGACCTCTGGGGTCGCAGAATGACGCATATGCTTCACCAGGTGTCGCATAAGACAGAACTGTGTCCAATGTCATTGGGACAATTTCATTGGGACAATTTCATTTCGGACATAAACATGAGATTCATAGATTCACAGACATGAGATTCACAGAGACATAAACATGTCACAGGAGATTCGCCCCCCAGGAGATTCGCCCCCCCTCTCAAAAGGAATATCCTAGGAATATCGCCCCCCTTTAGGAATTTCGCCCCCCATATAAATTTTGAATTTTTGATTTAAAAACAAAACGATTGCAAGTTGAAAAGGTTTATTGTGTGATTTATTTATTTATTACAAAGAGACAAAATTACATCACACTGCAGTCTGCATAACCACTCATTTGACGTACTTAGACTAGTGTCAAATACTACACATCTAAAGTGATCACAGAGATCGCATAAAATCCATAGATATGATAAAATCATGTTGTCGTATTCTTCTGACAGTTTACATTCACATAACATATTATAAAAACAATCGCTTGCAAATTTTATCAATACCAGTGTTAACAATAGCCGCCACAGTAATCAGTGACTAATCACTTGCTAACAATAAACTATAGGATTAATAAAAAATCTATGGAATGTGTTGGGAAGCGTATTGACTATTGTCCGTTGAATCATCAACTTTTCCATGTCAGTGTTTAATTTAATAGTGATGTAATCTTGATTCTTGACTTCCGCAAAGAAAATTGCATTATATATGTGGTGTGGTTTATTCAAATAATTTCATGATACTTTGACTTTATTAGTGCCTTAAACATTTGAGAATGTAACTCTGCAGAACTAAAAGCTTATTCGTCTTTTTTGAAACGTATATTATTGGAGTATTGCCTATTGGCAAGTTTTACCCTTCGCTTCTGAGATTTACAAACTATATTGAAATAATGCAAGTAAAAAATAGTGACAACTTATAAGCCACACATTTTCCAATAACGACAAAACGTGGATGCAAAACAATACCAATAATTACAATAACCACCACGGTGATTACTTTTTAACAATGAGTTTAAGGATTAACACTGAAATGCAAAATATGCATGGTGTGCTGTGAAGCGTCATAAGTCCTATTGATCTACTGTAACTGTGTAAGCCCTTTCGATACATATAATTGTAAATTTGTATTCTTACATGCAGGGCTTGAAATAATAAACGTTCCCAAAGTTCACGATCATGGTGATCGGCAGTCATGACTTTCCCTGCTTTTTTCAGGTTGGAAACCGAAACCCTGCTTTTCCGCCGATCATATTAAAGCAATTCCTTGCCGATCGGTGATCGGTTGTTATTTCAAGCTCTGTCTTAACAATTTTGAATTGATATTGATTTCAAATGATTAAAGCCATGTAATAATTATCCCATGCAACTGTTAGGAAGGGCGAAATATTGAACGGAGGACGAAAATCCTAAAGAAAAGGTGAAGTTTGTAAAGGGGGGCGAATTTCCTAAAGGGGGCGAAATTCCTAGGATTTTCGCCCCCCTGGGGGGGCGATATTCCTAGGAATTTCGCCCCCCGGGGGGCGAAAGTGTAGGGGGGGCGAAAATCCATTTTCGCCCCCCCTACATTTTCGCCCCCCGGGGGGCGAAATTCCTAGGAATATCGCCCCCCTGGGGGGGCGAAAATCCTAGGAATTTCGCCCCCCTTTAGGATATTCGCCCCCCTTTAGAAACTTCACTCTTTCTTTAGGATTTTCGTTCAAAATTTCGCCCTTCCTAACAGTTGCCTGGGATAATTATTACATGGCTTCATTTGAAATCAGTATCAATTCAAAATTGTTAAGACAGAGCTTGAAATAACAACCGAT